GGTCTGCCATGCTAAGCCTGAAGCTAGACGCTTAGCTTCTCATTAACTCTGCTAACCAACAGTCTCCGGTCCCGGTCCAGACTTTAGTGAACCAGCCCTGAACCTGTTCCTGATTTAATTCTTTATCGTGTGCTTGTGAACCACAATAAACTCTGTTGAACTTTTACCCCATTTCCATGTGTGTTCTGCATTTTGGGCTTAATTCAGATACCCATCATGACAGCATGGTGCTTATACTTTGTTTCCCTGCCTAATAACCAAGTTTTACGCGTGGCCACACACATGCTTTGATGTATAAAAATTCATTTGATAACGTTTGATCCCCAATGCCTCAAATCAAGGTGGACATAGTCTGAAGTCTGTAACTCAAAAGCTGTAGGAGGAGTTTTTTTTAATATAGAGGCTATAAAGTGCAAATTACAGTGAAAATGTGAAATTCAATCTAAAATGGCCGACTTCCTGTGGGGTTTAGACCATGGATCCAAGAGGCTTTTTTGTAGGTCCTGGTAAGTTTAACATGTGTCCCAACTTTCATAATCCTAAGTAATTGCATGGCTTTGGGCTGGTCGTTTTAGTCTTTCTAGGGGGCGCTGTAGAAAAAATTAAGCCACGCCCACCGATTATTCTTGTGTGGGCTTGGACCAAGTTCCATCATAGTGACTTGATAAATAGATTGAGGGATCTATGAGGAAATGAGAGCCAAAAGTATGGTCACGGCAAAGCGCCTAACTTTGCCAGGTCACCATGGCAATGCCATTTAACTCTCACACTCTGTGCTTTAAACGAAATTAGACCAACATGTTTTCTGTCTTCTGATCTAGTTTCAAGGTGCTGATGTTTAAAATGACTTAAAGGGACCCTCCCATGTAAAAAACGTGACTTTCTTCCCTCAGGGGGCGGGGCTTAGATGATGTCATCATTTGACCATCCAATATGGTCAAGCACCCAAAGGGGCTTGTTACTGCCAAACTTGGTTTGATTAGAATTTTTTTTGTAAAAGTTATTCCACTTTGAATTTCTTGAAAAGTACCCTAAATACGGGGCCCCTGGGGACCCCTTAAACATGCTCAAAAACGAAAACCTTTGATAACTTTTAATCTCCAATGCCTTAACTGCATAATGACCGAGTATGAAGTCGATAGCTCATAATCCCTAGCAGGAGTTTGTTAAAGTTCGACATGAGCGAAAATGAAAAATGGCCAAAAATCGAACTTTGACCCAAAATGGCCAACTTCCTGTGGGTTTTAGGGCATACCTCCAAGAGACTTTTTTTCATGATTTGAGGAGATCTACTTGTGTGCCAAATTTCAAATCTCTGTGACTTATG